TTGGAGTGGGGCTCCTGCCAGAGCCGCTGGCCAGCCTGTGCTGTGCCATGCCGCACCGCGCTGAGCATGCCTGCCCCGGCACGTGAGTGGGCTCAGATGCACAGCAGCACTCATGCTGCAAGTGGAAAGGGCTTGGGAAGGACGGGCTGGCCCTGAGCAAACGCTGGGCATGGGAGCCAGAGAGCAGCCCAGGTCCTTGCCACTGTCCAGGAAACCTCAGGAATGTCCTGTCCAGGCACGTGCAGGGCCCCGAGCCACCTCCCAGCCCGCGGCACAGCTGGCACTGGTGACGGGGCGTTCAAGAGCCCTGCAGGGCTGAAACCCGGGGGCTCCCCACACTCCCCTGGCCTCGGCCCCATGCTTCAGTGCAGAGGGCAGCCCTGCACGGCAAGCAGGAGCCACAGCACTGCTCGACCTGCTCCCACACCAGCCCCACCGGCTCTGCCTGTCCCAGTGGACAATGGGGGCTCCTGTGCCCCCCCCAGGACAGAACCACCCTGGCAGGGCCTGCAGCCCTCCAGGCCAGGTGCTGTCCCCACCATCACTCCGCTCCCCCAACTGCGTCTTGCACAGGGGCTGCGCCTCCCAGAGGGGCTCAGCTGTGCTGGTGGGGGTGAGCAGTGCTGACAAGGGGTGCCGGGAGCCCGGGGGGCGCTGCTGGCTCCCAAGGACTGTTCAAATCTGATGTGCCATTCGGCACTCACCGGGCACTCAGGGTGACATTGGTCCGCCCCAGCGGAACCCTGGTGAATGGCAAACAGACCCTGGGAAGGGGCAGCTCCTGATGAACCAGGCCCCCTGGTAAGACAGCATGTTTGATCGGCTTGCGTTAGAACAGCCAAGCGCAGGGCATCCTTGCAGCACAGGGATGACATCCCAGGCCGCAGCAGCAGGGAAGGGCCAGGCCATGGCAGGCGCTGCGGGAACATGCTCTCTCACCAGCAGCCTTGGACACACGCACAGGGACATGGAGCAACCCAGGCACTGACAACTGGAAGGACTCAAAGAGCAGCACAAGCGACTGAAGAACTGGGAAATCTGCCAGCACAAGGAGGAAGAAGTTCCTTCTGTTTATCCTTCCTTGGGAAGGTTAAGGGATGACACGGTCACACTCTGCCGAGGCCCACACCAGGACATCCCTGAGAGCACGGGGTCATGTCCCCAGCACTAGGGGCAGGAGAAGGTCTGGTGGGTCCCATGGCTTCAGGTACTGGGCTCCATCCCTCCCCTTCTCCCCAGTGCCCCAGCACGCACAGCCCAGCGCTGGCCCTTTCACAATCCTGGCTGTGTGGATGGGCCTGCTTTGCTCTTCCTGCTTCCCAGCAGTCCTGGGGTGCCGGGAGTGTGTGTACACAAGCTGGGGGAGCCCCGACACCCCCACCCTGCTTGGGCTGGGACCAACCAGTTCCCTACCTGCAGGCACCCCATGGGATTGGAGCTCCAGGGTGAGCACAGCCAAGGCCTGGAAGGCAGCAGGGCTCCGCAGCTGAGCTGGTCCCAGAAGCACCGGGGAGCAGACCAGGGCCACCACAGGAGCCTGGCCACCCTGGCAGGTTTGTTGACACCTCCCAACACCACCCACCTCCCACTTGCTAGGAGCTCACTGCCCCTCACTGCCCGAAGGCAGGGTGCCTGTCCATGCTGTCTCACTGCATGCCCCCATCCCGGGGCAGTGACAGGGACACTGCTGTGGACAGCACACCCCAGCTCCCGGAGCTGTCTGGGGTGTCAGCTGGGGCAAAGCACTGAGTGCACATCGGGGCTGTGCTTCCCTTCCCCTGCTGACTCTGGGTCAAGCCCCACTAGGTTACCTGATGTCCCCCTGTCCTGCTGTCACCCTCTAAGCCAGGGCAGGTCACAGTACAGCTCTTTGCAGTTCCTAACACCACTAAGTTTCCCCAGGACACAGAAGGGCTCTTGACTCTGCCAGGGGCTTGCCTGCTCTGCTCTGGGCTCCCCTGGGCTCTGGAGGGGCAGCCCTGGGAGGAACCAGATGCAGGCGGAAGGGAAAGACCCCAGAGGAATGTGCAGATGCTGCAGCCATCAGCCACATGGTCTCAACAGCCTAGACAGGCTGAGCGGCAGGCGGCGGGTCTGGGGGGCCCAGACACCCCAGAGCAGAGAGGCAGCCCGCTTGAAGCTACTGGGAGATAGGTGACCTGCTCAGCTGCCTGCCTGCTCCTCTGGAGAGCAGCTGGGAAGATGCAGGGCCAACAGTGAAGAGAGAATGCCCGCCCAGTCCCCCTAGCCCTCACGCCTCACATCCCTTCATCCATCCTCTCTTCTAAGGGCTACAGCAAATTCCGCCTCCATGGAAATCCTGAGTCTCCACCGGCCTTTGTAAACCACAGCTCAGCAAACAAGCCTCTGAAGCCCGCACACAGCACGCTCGGGGATACGGTGTGGCTGCACAGCCCCGATGCGGCACCCCACAACCCTGCTGGGCGCCACTTCCCATCGAGCACATGGGAAACGCATGCTGCCTGCGCTGCCCACACCCTCTCACCCTGCCACACATGGACACGCAGCACAGCTAACGGCATTGCATGACTCCCCATCCACCGTGCTGCCGGCAGGGCGCACAAAGCAAGCTTTCTGCAGCAAACACCGGGCACCCTCCCTACAATCACGGAAAGCCAAAGCCGCCAGCACCCCACAGACACAGTCGGACAACCAGGGGTTTGGGGCAGTGAAACCGGCACCCCTGCACACTCACACAGCCCTCACACGGCGCGGCCCCACGCAGCCCGTCCCTGCCCCAGCAGCGGTGGCTGCACAACCACCGCACATGAGACACCCAGCCCCCTCGCACCCGGCTCTGCTCCGCACCGCACCGCTCCGCACCGCGCCGCCGCG